AGTACGTCATATTACCTACATCATGTTATATCACATTATCTAATCTATCTAATCAGGCGTGTCCAAACTACAGCCCGGGGGTCAAATGCGGACCGCGGGCCATTGTTAATCGGCCCTCAGCAAATTCCAAAAGTATAATGAATATGGCCCACAAATGAAACCTGTGCTTGTCTTGTACTTCTCAAATATATGTAAACATATCACACAGTAGTATTCATGTGTTAATAAGCCCAATGTTTCAAATAAATTCAGTCAATTAAAGTTGAAAACAATTTCTAACAAATCTAAGTTGATAAGAAAAAAGCCCAATAACTTATTGCATTACAATCTTGAAATATACACTTCCTATTTCCTCTTATAAGCAATCTGAGGCTTCTGTTTTAAGGAATGAGCTGCTAACAAAATGAATGAAACCCTCTGGAGAGCTGTGATGTAGGCTGTTTGTTTTCTTAAAGTATATTCAAGTATCAAGCATCATTGACCTACATTTGATTGATTTTGCTAACTTATAGAGACTTAACTTATGAGACAATGTACCTCTACTCTAGTGAGTGACCCAGCCCTTCGTATATTGGACTGTATGTGGCCCTCGGGGAAAAAAGTTTGGACACCCCTGCATTATGTCTTATTATATCATATCATATTATATTATATAATATCATATTATATTATATTGTATTATATTAAAATAGCATATTCTATATTACACCCAGAAACATAAAGATATTCCATTTATTATTATAGAATACCACAATATATAATGCATTTGCATCAGAATCAGAGTCCGAATACGTTATTCCCAGGGGAAAGGGGGCTTCATTTTAGAATAAATAAATACAATAAAGAATGAAACAAATAAAATAAAACACCAATATTTATTGAAACAGGAGGAAGTTAAGGAATAACAAATGTGCACATTGTACAATAATATATAACAATATCTACCCTACAATATTAGTGAAAAAATATATTTATGATATTAATTCTGAGAAAGTTTGCTGAGAAACATATTAAAACCATTACTTTATCAGATCAGATCCCCCTCAACTGGATAAGAAAGGACCAAACTGAAAACATGGCTGAGAGGCAGCTGCAGGGATGTTTGATCACAAAGTGTTTCAGCGTCTCAGCACACAAACAGAGACAGCTGTTAACCCAGCAGCTGCTGCCGGTCACGCTTCTTTACTCTGCTGAGGCCCTGCTCAGAGTGTGTGTTTGAGTGTTTGAGTGTGTGTTTGAGTGTTGTGTGTGTGTGTGTGTGTGTGTGTGTGTGTGTGTGTGTGTGTGTGTGTGTGTGTGTGTGTGTGTGTGTGTGTGTGTGTGTGTGTGTGTGTGTGTGTGTGTGTGTGTGTGACAGAAGAAAGAGAAAGAAAGAAAACCTTCACTCAGCTTTGTTAACATGTTTTCCGCCCTGTTAACCTCCTCGCCATCGCACAGACTCTGACATGCTGAAACAAGTCCTCCAGGTGGTGGAGCGAGTTGTGTGAACGTTTTACTCTTTTTAGGTTCAATAAAACTTGGCATTTGCTCTGCTGCTGTCGTTTTTTTTTTATCAACGACAGCAGCCACACTTGATCATTGGGTTTAATGTTTCAGGGCCTTAATATCACCAGATTAAAATACCTCAGCAACTACCAGATTTTTATCTATTAAATCTTGTCAAAACCCCATGATGTTGAATCTGAACCACCAGCAGGTCTAATTTGTATTAAAGCAGGGAAATAATATCTACTACATGGCAGTGGTCAAATGTCACTAAGTGCAAGTACTGTACTTAAATATACATTTCTTATTTAAAATAAAAAACATGAATCCAACTTCCCGTGTGTTGAAAGCGTGTGTTTGTAATACAATGTGTAAAACATGTGTAAATAATACACAATATAATACAAAATAGTAATACACAATGCTTATAATGGGCTCTACAGCAAAATCCTGCTTTTACACCACGTTCCTATTTACTAAGCAAACACTTCATGTTTAGTGTAGTTGTGTGAAGGCTCCCTGTGAAAGGTGTGCAGCAGAATCTCTCTGCAGCACCCACGCTGTGAGAAATAATTAACACAGAGCTGTCACTCCTATAATAAAGAAGTGAATGAGCGGGACTACTGCAGTAATGATTAGCCAAAATCAGAGTAAAGATTCAAAGTGAAAGTAAAGCTAGATTCCAGCGTCAGTGTGAAACTCAGATTTGTATTAAGTAGAAGTAGAGGATAAGACTTTAACAAAAAGTACATTTTTCAAGAAGTGAGCATGCAGGATGTGCAGCGAGTGGTGTCATGAAAACCACAAGTAAAGCTGGTTTCACTGTTTTTTTAAAATCTCTGAGTCATATTTTCCTCTAATGAAACAAACCAGCTGAATAAGACAAACAACAGGAAGCAGGGCAGCGCTCTCAGGACCAATCGAATCGAGGCCCGCGAGTTTGAAACAAAGGAAGCTAACAACAACAACCTGAGGCTAACATCACTTCTGGACTTGTCTGTATTCTCTGCAGGGGGAAGTGAAAACATCCTGAACATATGGGGAAATAATCTCAGCCTGCAGAGGGTGTGCAGACATATAGCACAAGTTTCTAATGCTTAACATTAAAAAAAAACATTCCTTAGAAACCACAGTGTTAATGCTCCATGTTTCACCACCTCAAAGGCTGTTAGGGCCTTGTTTTACAGTTTACTGTCAATTTCAACAACTAAAGACCTCTGATTCACCTCTGCATGCAGCTGCATAGAGGACACGGGGGTTAAGAGGTGGATCAGAGAAGAGATGTTGATGGGAAGGGTGGGGTCGTTTTATAGACACTGTTGCAGTATGAGAAATAGTTTCAGTTTTGATGAACAGATTTGTTTCCAACCTGACAGGGTCGAGGGAGACACCTTTTAAAAACATTTGTTTTATCTGACTGTTCGACAACGTTTGTCCCCACTGCTACCCAACACATACACCAGTGACAGCAACTTTATTTTGCTAAAAGTCCCCCATCCCAGGTTTTAAAAATGCTCAAGTCATGATACTGAAGTAGGGGGTCAGGAATGGTTCAATATGCTTATATTTCCATAAAAAGCTAAATAAAATGTTATAATCTGTACGTTAAATAAAAGAGTTGGTTAGCTTAACCTAGCATAGGTACTGGAAACAGACACTAAAGCATGTCACAATATTGCTTAACTTTTTAACACATTCAGCTTTATACATTCCAACACAATGTAATGATTGATCTCATGAAGAACTAACAAAGAATACAAAACAAAACAAGTACACATTATGAATCTTATTGGGTCAAAAACAAAGGTCCTGGTCGAACAAAAGGTAAAGATCCCCTTTTAATTTGTTTAACCTCCTCCGGCTCATTGACAGATCCACTTGTGAAATCTGGGTTTGCATTTGTGGGACGAGCCAAGTCCTCATCTACATTTTGAAACCCACAGTGGAGGGGGACATTTGAAAAGGCTCTTGCATCATGTTGCCTGGTGTGAAGGTGTGAGGCTCAGCAACTGGCCCTTTAATTGTCTTACTCAGAGAAAGGTGGCTGCCCAACACGAATGAAAAAGCCCCTCGGACAAATACATGTAAAGATCACCAGAACAGACATAGTTCCCTCTTCCTTTTCACCCCCTTAGTTTCTATCCTATTTCCAGAGCTAAAGCATCTTCCGTTACAACGGTCACTTGTGTCAGCTGGAAACTGTTGGCTGTAAATGGGTCTTTAGATCCCAGGAATGCAAACAAAGACTCCCCGTCTTAACCAACATGGCCGCTGGGAAACTGCCTGATTTCAAACGTTGGTAAAGTGCCAGAAGCGAGGGAGTTTCTTTACGACCACTTCACTAACCACCACGTGTTTACAGCACGAGGTGGCTGATTTCTATCCTCCTGTCAGGACACGGCTGTCGGCCAGGCGCTTTGACACAAAGACTCTCCCTCTGCTTACAGGAATGTGTGTGTGTGTGTGTGTGCACTGGCACGTGCTGCAGCAGAGAGGCCACTCCCAAGGTCGGCTAGAGAGGGAAGATTTGAAAAACAAGAACCACTGGAAACTTGTGCTGCTGAGAAGCCCAAACAAAAAGGCGGATGTGCTTTTGTTTAGACTTAAGAAGTGGAAGTTTAGTTTGACTTTAACGAACCCTGCACACCCAAGGCTTTACAACAAATAAAAGTAAAGTCTGGACTGATATGTAAAGTCGGGCTGAAACTAACACGTTTTTTTATTTCTAATTGTTATATACTCAGGTCCAATGAAAGAGTAAAATACGTCCTCTCAATGACTGATGATTCTGTAAGCTCTGATTGTTTGGCTTTTCTGCTTAGTAAACAAAGATCAACATTTTTGGCCATATACTTTCTAGGACAATGTCAGCTCCTCTATCCCTTGCATATGAAACACTCAATAGTTTGTTTAAGTGAGCCTGTTATGCTCTCTCTTTCCTGTAGTGTGTCATGTAAGTTTGTGTGCATGTAAAGGGTCTGCAGAGGCTAAAATCTCAAAGTTCATCTCCCCCACACACTCCCCCCTGTCTCCGTTGGATACATTTGTTTACCTCCGTAACAACACATGCTCCAACACATTTTTCGTGATCGGTTAAGGGGTTGGACATGTCTAAGCGGTTGACCAGCCACAACAGAGCCTGCCAGCTAACCAATCAGAGCAGACGCTCTGGTTTCAGACGGAGGGTGAAAAGAGGTGCTGAAGCATTAAAGCATGTGAACATGTCACAGTAGAGGTACAACATTCAAATATTAACCTCAAATGTAGCATAATCCATACAGGTCCTTTTCAAAATTAGTTACTGAATAAATTAGTAGACCAAGTTAAGAATTGCATTATGGTATTTTAGCAAAAAGCCAGCAGGCTAAAACCATCGTTTCATAGTATGAAAACATATTCCTCATTGTAACGTTAGGAAGTTAAAATAGTTGTTAGTCAATATTGTGTGTCGGCCCCACGAGTATATTCACAGCACAAGAGGGAAGCTCCATTAGAAAAATAAACTTGACGTCACGTTTGAACACACATTGGCTTTTATTTCAGCAGCTCCCCCACAAGCCTGTACCAAAATCTTCCAGCCAGTTCATAATAAATCATCTTTAGCTCTGCAGAGTGGAAGACATTTTAATCTCTGGAAATGTAAAAGGAATCAAAGCAAAACAAAGAAGGATCTTAGATCAAGAACTCCTATCACTTGCTGGCCTGCAGCATCAGGTAAATCTCACTGCGCAGTTAACAGGTAGTGTGTTTGCTTTGGTATCTTCTGACAGAGAACAAATGATCCGAAAAGGAAAGAAAAAAGGAAAAACTCTGTATTCAATCTGTACAAGTTGTCAAAAATATCAAATTTGCATTTTAGGACGCCTAGAGAAAGGCATTCTTTAGGCAGTCAATATAAATGGGGGTAGACACAATTCAGCAAATATTTTTATATCAAAAAGGAGTATTCCAAAAAGCACCTCACCATTTCAAGTTATTTAAATTAAGTGCTACGATAAAGTGGAACATGACAAAAAAAAAAAAAAAATCCAGTGAGGAGCCTGGAGAACTTTAGTCTATGCAGTGTGGGTTGTGTTATTGCAAGTTGTGCCGCAAAAGGCAGCAAAATAATAAAAACATTTTAAAAACAGGCAGTAGGTCCGAGTGGTTATTAAAAAGGATCGCATTGCGTCTCAGTGAAATCTGTGCACTGCCCCTCAGCTTTAGGTCACGTCTTTCCCCTCTTTACATTTGCATAAATAACTAACTTTGCTAGAGTTACAGGGAAAATGTTGGGACCCTTCTGTTGGCACAGTCCCTAAACAGGTATTTCCTGGTCGGGGGGGGGGGGGCATTGTATATTGATGGGGGGGCAGTGTGTTTCTTAGGAGGCGCTCACAGCTTCTTCAGGCGGCTGTACATGTCTCTCTTGCTGCGCTCACCGGCCCAGGTGCGGCTCTTCAGGCGAAACTTCCTCAGGTCCTCCTTGAAGTCCTCGTGGTGCATCGGCCTGTAGGCCTGAGGTTCACACTGTGCCTGCAGAGGAAGAGGAGGAACGGTTACATTCAGCCGTCACTGTGCGGGAGAAGTGCTCACTAAATGCTCAACAGTGACAGTTGAGATCTGACTTCACAACAAACATCACAATTCAAGGAACTACTTTTTAAACTGGGATTTGAGCTTTAGCCCTTCTGGCTCCATTAGGCCATGTTTTTTTTGAGAGAGCCTAACATTAGGTCTTTGGTTAACAAAAAGCTTAAGAGATTTAAACGTTTTATGACAAGTTCTATGACCAAAATACATCAGTAAATAACCCAAAAGTGAACGTTTGTAGCTTCCAAGCCTCATAAAACAGCGGTTGCCAACATTAGTCTCTTTAGCTAAGTTGTGAAGACGTGAAGTAATGTGACCGTGGTTTTCCCCCCCCCTCCGCAAAATAATTTAAAATCTCTTGAAAAGCTACTGGCTGGACCCTGTGGTGAGATGGATTTATCATCGAGCTCGAGTGTTAGACAAACTGTGAGCTTCAGAGCAAAGTAGAGCAGGAAGTGACCTGGTAATGAGGGAAGAAGTCTTTGTATCCGCCCTTCAGGATGTAGAGCTCGGGGTAGTGGAGGTTTGGATACTCGTTGGCGGCGCGGTCTCTCTCCCTGACGAAGCGACACATTCGAGGGCCGCGCTCCGACGAGAACTCGCAGTGGAAGATGACGACGACGCGTTTGTCCGGGCAGGACGGGACGATAGGCGTTTTCAGGAGGTAGTCCTCCACCTGAATCTCCTGGTGGAGGTTCAGAGCTTCCTGGATGAGAAGAGACAAAACCAACCGTTCAATTTATAGAGCACAGGAAGCGACAGGGAGGCACAAAGACTCAGTGTCAGACAGAGAGAGTCAAAACAGATATTCAAACGGATATTCTTACATGTAATTAACACAGTGAGCTATATGTGTCATTTAAATGTGTGTGGTGAGGTAATGCGACACTGAATACATTTAGATTTTATAATTTTTTTTAAAAAAAACTATTACTTGAAGGAAAACTCATGAAATGGAAGTATTTCCGAGTCAAGCTTGTTGTTTTAAAAAAATAAAAATATAGAGTTTTCTATGCTTTGAAAACACATGTTTTGAGATCGTCGCTCACCTTTATGTGTCCCCCCTCAAACTCGTAGGGGTAGCGGCAGTCCATGACGATGACAC